AACTAATTAAATATGTACACTAATAGCACGGGACGATAGTTCCAAATTCATGTCCAGAATTCCTAAAGGTTTCCAACGCTTGGTAAGTTTTATGTTAAATGTCCAAGGACGATGGGAAATGTTTTCCCATTTTATTTTCAGTTTACTTTTGTTAGAGAGACATTGAGAATATTTAATACGCTTGATAGCTCTTCATTTCGATGAAAGCTATTACGAATCGTTTAGTCTTCCTTTTTACTGTCCATACTTGACTTCCCGTTAAGACAACTATGTGAGGGACTGAGGAACTTGCGAAGGAAATCCAATGTTACAAAATGTATGATACCATAAAATAATAACGTTGATTTTTCAAATTTTGAAAAATTTAAGTTGATACACTTAAAATGTAAAAATTAATCATGAAAATAATTTCATAAATTGATAAAATGAAAAACCTTAAAAAAAATTCTTATATATCATTTAATTTTCGATTAAATAAGTGAGCAATATCAAATAATCATTTTGTATATTATTACTTTATACAATTAAAATATCCAAACAGATTTTATTAATTTTCTCTTTTTATAAATTCAAACCACATAAATAAAATTTAATTGACTTTTAACACGAACTTAAATTTTAAAAGTTTGTCTATATTTCTTATAAATTCGTTACTTTTATACTTATGGCAAAGACTTTGATCTATAAATAATATAACAGAAAAAAGATTTCTTTGTGTTCTATTTTATTTATTGGTTTTCAAGAAGTACTTTGTAGACTTTTGGTTTATGAAACGAGTAGTCTAAAAAAGATGGCTTTTTATCCTTTTACTTTATCTGTATTACTATTGTTCATGGGTAGAAAAAACTTAATTGAAAAAGAAAAATAGGAATTCAATATCATTACACGGTATAGTTTACAATTTAAATATATAGTTTTAATAAAGTATCAAAAGCAAGTAAAATTTCTCCAAATCTAAACGTTATTAATAAAATAAAAGTTATTTTTTGTGTTTTTGAAAAAGAAAATAATTTAAACAATACTCAAATGCTAAACGAAGATCCTTTTAGTTTTAGGTTTAACATTATTTGATCACTATCAAATATATGTTGATTTTTTTAAAAAAATAATCGAGAATTCATGATATATATATTTTAGCAAAAACAATTTACACTTTTGGAAATTTTGGAAATGATTATTACAACGAAAGTAAATAGTAAAACTGATAATGCATATTGCACTACCACATAATATAAGCAAGGAAAATGAATAATACTCGAATTTTGTTTCCAAAGAAATGTTTGGTTGTCATGCATCAAAAAACTGATTAATATAAAAAACTTGCATGATTACACTATTTAATTGTCCGTATTTACTTTTCGACTATAATAACATTATGATATCCAGATATAACAAATTATCAAATATTGCAAAATCAATTAGATTTGTCGTGTGAGAATTGCTTTAAATATAATAATGCCTTCTGTGTACAAAAATAATAACCTAAATGTTTTTTTAAAGGAAACAAAAAGATAATAGCACTGGGAAATTTATCCAGAATATAGTAAATATGAACACTAGGTATGTACAATACGTTTTATACTTATTTATATACTGTAGTTCTGATAAATTACAATATCCAATAGGAATATTATTCTGATTCTTTTTGTTACATTTTATTGTTATCACATAATATTATTTTTTGTCCTTGGGTATATTAGGTTTTAATCACTCTTTCGAAACCAACCCTCTTCAACTTTGAGTTTTATTCGAAAAATAAAATTTATTAAAATTGTAAGTTTTGTATGTTCATGATTTGTTATTTTTAGACAGACAATTTTGAGATAATATTAAGTATAAAGTTGATCAATGATATAAAAACATTATTTCCTATATTTTTAAAAACAATTTAGAAAGAAAGTATATTTTCATGTTTCTCAATTTTCATCTATAACTTTTTAATTAGCAGTGGCGGCTCGTGGGTATCGGAAGTGGTGAGGCCAACATTTAATTTAGTAAATTTGAATAAAGAATATACCTATTTTTAAGATTATAGGTACACGTAGATGATAGCTGTATTAATCGGTAACATGTTGATTCTTTAAAATTTTTATAAATAATAAGATGAAAAATTATAATCGTATAATACTTTTATACATTAACTGATAACTGATGTGATAAACGTAATTCGTTTGTTGTTTTTGTGGGGTAAGCATAGATTAGAAACAATAACGACATATTGGCGATTCCATTTAATTTATATGTAAAATGTCGTTTCACATTTGAAACCACCTGGCACAAGATGGTGTTCACCGCTGAGGAAAATTTACATTAGCCTCATTTTATTACCAAGTATTCACGACTCTCCCCCACCAATCAATCTTAATAATCCAGTATAGCAACTGAATCAAAAAAAAGTTTGCCTCTCGGACCTCATCGGTTTGCTTCGTAATCAGTCGTGTAACGTGTTGTCATTTTAGACCTTTGGTTTCGGCACTAACTACTGTGTTATATCCGCTGTGTTTGTGCATCGCCAGTTATGTTATCTATTTTCGTCCTATTATCTTTTATGGTTCAAGATTACAAATTGCGTTAATTATAAAAATTATAATATTTTGAAAGATATTTGATATTGATAGAGGCTCGAGATAAATAAATTATTACAAGGTAAATTGCAGGTGAGATTGTGCCTCGCTTGCCTCACCCGGCGAGCCACCACTGATAATTAGTTTTAATTCTACTATTCTACTTTTACAAAATTATTGATTTATCGTTGACCACTTAAATTCTTCTAAAATTATAATGAAAATTTCGAATTTTTTGTTTTTATTTAATTTAATATTATTAATTACTCGATATTTAAGTAATTCAATATTTTTAGGTCTATCTCTTAACACTTATAAGGGTTACCAACTTTATTTTTAATGGCAAAACGTATATTTCTAACTATATTAAATGTTAGGTAATGGTCTAATTTAGAAAATTATTGGTTGTTAAAAGTTTTTGACCAATAATTCGGAATTTGTTACAATTTCGCAACGGAAGAGGTTGTGCAGAGCGTTGTCAGCCTCTCCCAGGCAATCCGAACAGTGTCACACGTCGGCGTGGCTGCTTTACGAATACGGTGCAAGTACTTGTTAAAGCAGCCGTGGCCGGACATCATTTGGGTGAGACGATAAGTCATCTCACCGTGAGTCCGATCCACAACACTCTTACCCCTGCCAAGGTAAAAAATTGTTAATAACTTCCGAAATACTAATCTAAAACTTGTTATTGACCAGTCATTTATTTAGTTAGATTATTTTCTGTTATGTACATTAAATAATTATGTATAACCCAAATAACAAATTAAGTTGGTATCCTTATAAGGAAAACTGGATTGACCTAAAAAGTATTTAACTTATAATTCAATAAATAAAAACTACTTAAATAAGTTAAAAAAATTCTTATAAGGTAAATTAATTATACTTTATGATTTATTAACTGAAAAATTATCTTATAAAACAAATTAATCATAAAATAAAAATTTTCTAGGGATTTTCCTTTAAATAAATATGTGTATTTAAATGAAGAGATGAGTCGTCGAATCAGACTGAACACAATTAAGTTTTACCCAAAGTCAAAAACTCCAAGAAATTCTGATGTGTTTAGATCTAAAGCGGAAATTGAACCTTATTTAAATACACCTGATTGGATAGTTTTTTTTATAATAGCAGTAACTAATATTTCAAATATTTGGCAGTAGAGATCGTAGAACCCAACCTCATATTTGTATTAGCATTATACTTAGTGTAAAATAAAATATAAATATATTTAAAAAACTCTTGTCTCATTATTTTTATTATATTGTATTTATATAAGCTAACTTATGGAAAGTTTTAATTTTCAAGCTTCTATAACAAAAAAAAAACGGGTTGAATCTTAAACCAAAAAAACTAAAAAAATTGATAGTTTGATTAATTTTAAATTAAAAAACCCAGCACAGTGGTGTCGCGGCACAGTGGGGATGTGACATAGTTAGGATAAGTATAATGATATCTGACAGTCATTAAAAAAAGTAATAAAGTTAAAAATTTAAAAAAAAAAATTTTTTTAAAAAAATCGTATTTTTTGTTATTAACTTTAATGTCTGTTTTCACCGTGAAGACAAAATAAAGTCCGAACATTTTTTTTTTCATGATAAGCTATATTACATTAGCTATAGTTTAAGATATATATATAAAAGTGACAGACTTTCCGGAACACTTTCAAAAGTTAAGTTGAAAAAATTGTCATTTTAAATCCCCCCTATGGGCAAGTAAAGGGTCAGATTTAAAAAAATATATATATACCACATGATAAGTAGACATCATGCATCTATAAAAAAAAATTATATTGATTTGGTCATTTTTAAAAAAATTATGGCAGTTTTAAGTAAATATAATTGAAAAAATGTCGAAAATTAACAATTTTTTTAATTTGTAATTTTTTTGGAGATTTCCTCGATTTACGGGGAACAAGGGAAATTTTTTCAATTTTTGAGGGTAATATAATTATTTATTTTAAAATAACTGTGTTTAATTTTAATTAATATAGAATTTGCCTAGGTCTAGTCATAATCTTTTATAAATATTGAACATAGTAAAATGTTTAGATGCATAAATTAATGTTTAATTAATTTTAAGTGGTAGCTATCAAATAAAGTAATGATATGCATGTAATAAAGAATAATATTTAAATAAAATATAGAAAATTATTAGTATGGTTAATGTTTATTAAAAACAAAAAACTTTAGAAAATAATAATACCTCAATACTTAAAAAGACATTAGTAAGAATAAAAAGAGTAATTTTGAGATTTGGTACGAAACATTGTTCTATATTTTTTGTTTTTCAATAAAAGTTTTAAGAATAATGTTTTGTAAACTATTCAACAACCATTTTTTTTTTAATAGATTATCAATTGGTATTCTTTTTTAAATAAATGTTGGCTTGAAAATTTATATATTTAAGTACTACAATAATAAAAAAATATAAAATAAACTTTTTAAAACTCTTTATTGTGTTCGTAAAATTTATTGACATTTCCACAAAAACTTAATGAAACTTGATTAATTTATAGTAAAAATAATGAAGTATCGATTAACGGCTATTGATATTATCATTTATTTTAAGAAATTAATAGTGGTTTTTGTAATGTTTAATTTTATTCCAAAAATTATTAAAAAAAAAAATTAATTTTTCTATATTTGATCCTATGGTGTATAATCTACACTAATAGTATTTAAATTTTCATCATTATTAATGCCGTTAATATATAATACTTGGTATACTGTACAACTCTTAAAATCATTTTCGTAAGGTCGTATTACTTTGTTTAGTAAATCCATTCCATTTATCAATGATAAATTATTTAATTCAATCTTATCGGAACTTAATACCAATGGTACGATAGTGTCATCTAATAAAATTTCAACACCAACAACTATTGCGGCATGAGCTAAAAATTTATTTTAACAGATCATAATATTAGTTATTTTCAAAAATCATATCATTAATTATTTTTTAAGTAAAAATTTAGTAAAAGTGTTAAGAAGTAGAAAAGTAGTCGCTATAAATATTCAAAGCTGGACATAAACGAGTTAATAAGATAAAGTTAAGTTAAACTTAACAGTTTATTTTACAAAGGTTTTTAGATTTTACATATACTTAATTTTGAATTAATTTATCTTGTGCTTATTTTATGTCTAATAACGTATTTATTTTTATTTTTGTTGATTACCTCTTTTAAAATAAAATTCGGTATACTATAAAAAAATTATTTTTATTAAAAATCAGTTCGAAAAACATTTGTGTTCGTCGAGTAATATGTATGTAACATCCCTTTTATAGTTTCCGGTTGCTTTGTGTTAATACTACTGATAAATAAATTCTCCGAAACTCGTTAGTTTTTTAGTCAAGTTGCATCCGGCCAGTGTCATACAGGTATTGTTGTAAATAATTTCTATTAATAGATATATGTCGGCGTTATCCTTATGCCAGTTGAATAAATAAAACGCTTACTATTATTAATATATGTTTTTGATAACCGAGGTAGTCGTATTACCTAGTAATCTGATGTCAAATGCTTAGGGAGTAGAGGCTTCGTAACCAAAAATGATAAAACTAGTTTTGTTGCATTAAGAAAAAATTAGGAAGGGAAAAATTAACCTAACTTGTTAAGTTAATGAGATTTTGTCAACTTAACTTTTAACTTAATTTATTTTAAAAGATAAATGATTAATTTTAACATTAACTTATTTTTCAAATAGTTTCATTTTGAATAGTGAACAAAATCATGAGCTTGCCTAGTCTTGTAAATTTTATGCAGTTGTTAAGAATATGTATTTACTAAATTAATTTGGTCCCCAAAGAAGTGCATAAAACAAAATCGAAAACCGAATATTTTTAACAACGGATAATGTGGTTTTCAGAAACATCAATAAATTTACACATACCTGAAGTATCATTTTGGTAAAATAATAAAACTGGACATACAAAGTTTTCTTTATTATCGTTTAAATTCTTAAAATATTGATGCAACCAATTTAACAACTTTTGATACAACTCTTCTTGTTTTAATTGGTTGTCATCAAAAGTTACTTCATTGACACTACAAAAATTTAGATAAAATTAATTTTGTTAAAAAAAAATCATACTATTTTTTATAAAAAATGAAATTGTCCTAAAAAATAAACCATAATTTAATTTAGCTATTGACTATAAATATTTATTTAATTACAAAATCATCGAAAAAATTGAATAAATACTCAATTAAATAGTTGTAGTAATTGAGTAGGTAATAATGAAAATAAATATAATTAAATTATATTAGTTTATAAATATGGATTTATTAATTAAAAGTAGTTACAAAAACTAAAAACTATAAAAAAAAAATGTTTGAAGTATTTAAATATTAAAAAAATGATTTTCAACCTATTGTAGTCCAACTTAATCAAAACATTTGTCCTTATATCACTATACAAGTAAAATAGATACATGGATTTTAATTTTTTAATGCAATGTAGCCATTTTATATTTAAACAGTACAATTTGACAAGTTACCGAAAATCATTTTATGAAAAAATCATAATTTTAGTTGGCTCTCTTTCATTACTAAAAAAATATGTTAGTTAAGTTGGTAGCGAAAGTCTGAATAATTATACTCTTTAAAATTATCAATTTATTTTTTACTTATTCATAGTTTCACATAGTTAAACAAAATTATTTTTATATATGATTTAGAATCTAGTTATTAATCCAAGTCAATTGTTTTTTTTTTAAATCAAAAATTTAAATTAATTATTAGTCGGTAAGAAGTATAACACCACATGTGTTATTTCCTTTCATTGAATTTTACACTTTATTTGCTAATATAAAATATTTTTAAATAGTTAGTTTTATCGTTTTAATGAATACCTTTAGATAGTCTAAAAATAATCTTTACCTAACTTGAGTTTTTATTCTTTTCTTACATACTTAAAAAAAACCAACCCAGCACAGGGGGGTCGCGGCACAGTGGTGACGTGGCATAGTTGGATCAAGTATAATGATATCTGACAGTGATTAAAATCACTATAAAAAAAAAACGCTTCGATGCAAATCTTTAGAAAGTGTTTAATTAAAAAAAATTGGTGGATTATTCCAAAAGCTACATGATCTGCTAGTTTCTTATTAATATCCTGATTAAGATTAAGTATGTCAAATGAAAAAGGGATTATTAAAAAATATTATTTCTCATAAAAAAATTGTGTTGATCCATACACTTTTCAATAAGTTATAGCATTATAAAGTTAAAAATGTAAAAAATAAAATCGAGAATTTTCACACGACAACAGCATTCAATAGCCATTTTCACCGCGAAGACAAAATGAAGTCCGAAATTTTTTTTTCCATAATAAAGTACATTACATTAGCTTTAATTTAAGATATACATAAAAGTGTCAGACTTTCCGGAACACTTTCAAAAGTTAATTTTTTGTGAAAAAGTTGTCATTATAAATCCCCCCCTGTGGGCAGGTTTAGGGATAGATTTATAAAAAAATATACCAAATGATAGGTTAAAACATTATGCATCTATCAAAAAAAAAAATTATATTGATTTGTTCATTTTTGAAAAAGTTATGGCAGTTTTAAGTAAAAAAATTTTGAAAATTATTGATTTTTAAATTTGTAATTTTTTTGTAGATTTCCCCCATTTACGGGGAACGAGAGAAATTTTTTCAATTTTTGAGTGTAATGTCTTCGATTAGATACGATTTGTGATCTTTTGACGTATCATTGAAAGAAATCGGTTCAGTAAGAGCTGAGAAAAAGTAGTAACAGACTCAAAAAAAAAAAGTACATCATAGTAAAACCAATACCTTCTCAGCCTCGCATTGAAGCTAATATAATCCTTCTTTTTTGTTCTCTTCACAGAACAACTGTTAACTCTCATATCAATAATACGTTTTTTTCTAACATTTTATATTTGATCATTTATACTTTTAATATTACCACTTTACAATATTATATTTGTAAATTATTATTGGCGTTGAACATTGTAACTTAATGCTTTTGTTTATTAACAAATTGTAATATTTGTATGAAAAAAAAAAATATTATTATAACTAATTTGTCAATTAATTATGTAATACCTTTTAATAAAAACTAAAAAAAAATTAAACCTCATTACATAAGAATAATAAGTGGTCTAGTATCTATTAAACAAAAATGGAAATATTATTTGAAAAATAGATATTTACTTCAAGCGTAATCCATATAACATAGTCAATACGTCTCTTACATATATTCCATCAACTCGTCTAGTTTCTCTATCTCTGTATACATTTGAATTGTCGATTCCCATATCCCAACATCTTTCTAGATGATTCTGTAAGAGTATCATTGAGGGCAATTGCGAACGTGTCAAAGGCATTTTATAAAGATGTTCCCAAATCTTAGACAGATGTTCACTATATTCATTATTTAACATCAAACTAGACATTAACATCTGCAAACTTTTAAAAGCACAACCATTGGTACTATATTCATCTACCTTGTAGAAATCTGTTGCTGAAGCCATATAGACGTCTTTTACATTTACGGAAATTTTACTGAAGATATGAATGTATTGAGATATAACTAAATAACATAATTTAAATAATTAAAATTGACCAAAAGAAATTTAAAATTAAATAATTTAATTTAATTTTAGTATAATAGTAATTCGTACTATTGTAATCGATGAATCATTTAAAAAAATGTTTTAACTTATAAATTATGATTTTCGATGTAATGAATATACAATTAGTTTTCAGTTTAAAAAGAGAAGAATATATTTAACTTTGTGTATATGTTGCAAACAAATATAAAGTAACCTACTGTCGTAATTAAATTAATTTAAAACATTACTTTTCACTTGTGGCGAATCATATATAGGCACTATAACAATATATTAAAAATAATTATTAGGAAGTGAAATACTTCCTACAAAAGCAAGTTTTTTTTTTGTAAAATTATTTATATTAAATGATTAAAACGCAATAATATTAAGTTTAAATAAAATTACCGTCATTTAAGATTGATTCAATAATTGAATCTATAAAAAAACATGTGCATAATTTTTAATAGATGTTACTAATTAAAGGTAATCTCGGAATTTATTTATTTTAAATGAATTCCTCTAAAAAAATAACATTCATAAAACTACAAATTTATCAATAATTGCCTAGTTAAGATAAAAAATAACATTTTATTTAATCAATATTTAAATTTTTTGAAGATCCTGTAGAAAATAATCTTAAAACAATGTTATGAAATCGGTATCAAAATTAAACGATTCTGTACAATATTAAATATTCATAAAAAATATTTTGGTAAAATACAAAATTCATTATTTGAAAAATGTCCAATAAAGAAAAATTATTATACTCGAACATTATTATCATAATATTGTATTACCGTGTGTTAGAAATAGTAACGTAATTAAATTGAAAACATTCATGGTACTCATAATAAGATTTTTCAAAGACTTTAGAACTAAACTAAACTATATTGTAACACTATCGTTTGAATAATTAAAAAATATTAACAAGACCCAAGGTTTCTTTAAAATATTTATTTACTTGTTTATCAATTACTTATTTTTGACATGTTATATTACTCATATATATTTCTGTACGATAGTTAATTTTTCTTATAATAGAATATTTCAATTGAATAAAATAAAACTTATATTATTTTATTGGATTTTTTTTTATCTATAAATATTAAATGCCAATAAGTGCCATAAGTTGTATTTTTGGTTATATAAAATTTAAACGCATACTTTTTAAACTCTAAAAACTGTAATTCATGATTTAAATTTAAAATTAAAAAATATGTTTATTGCAAATATTTACCTTAAAATTAGAGATAATTGCTGTTTGGATACATTATATTTGTCACAATGCCAAGTATACGAATACCTCGTACACAGTGTTAGATTTTTAAAAAAGTTATGACTGGCCAGAATGAGTACATTAAGAGTTACTAATTATTAGGGAATAAAACAAATGAACATAATCTTATTAGTTAACTGAGTATATTTATAAGCCCTTTCTGTGCATTAACGTTTCTTGTTTCAAATTTAGGTAAAAAATATTCATGACATGACACATTCTACGCAACGACATATGGGGTGCTAATAATATTTGAACAAAGGGGTTGAACAATGAGTACATTCATTTTGAAGCCTATAAACTAACGACTGGACGACTGTGGTGGTTTACTATGAAGGTACACATTGTCATCTTGTGTTGACGTATTATTTTTGCGTATGCTTAAAACAATAAAGGGTTTAAATCCTTTTAATGTTAACGAGCTTGACGCAGATAGCACAAAATATTTTGAAACTTCAATAATTCAAGTAGTTCCCTCAATTTCTTCTGTTTGTAAATTTTAATTCTCTTCCAGGTCAGTAAATAATAATATAATTTATTAAACACACACTTAATTGGATGTACTTATCCTTTACTTTCTTGATCATCACGCATTTATTAGTATAATTGATCAGTTAAGTTAATTATAATGATCATTATGAATATTACAGATTCATACGTTAATCTTCATTGACGTGTTAACAAATTATAACAAATTATTCTTGATATTTTAGCGTTTTTTCTCACTTAAATATTTAATAAACGGCTCTGAGTAAAGTCTTAGAAAATCACATTAATTGCTACATTAGATTTTTTGTAATCTTTTTGAACAATTATTTTATGACATGGTACTTTTATATATTACAATTGTACAATACTTATACATAGTCAAAATATAAATTATTAATATTAAACTTATTTTTTAAATATAACTTAAATAATAAAAAATTTTATTCCAAATCGGAATTTCAATTAAAAATTCTTTCCAAGAATACACGTGAACAATTTTTTTTAATTTAAGATATAATTATTGTATATTATTTCAAAGAGAAAGCAAATATATTAGTAAAATGTACACAAAAAATAATAACAATTTGACTTAACACATATTTTTACTTATGTTTTTTCGCTCTATTATTGTAAGTTACAATTATTTTTTTTTAGTAATTATTAGTAGTTTAAAAGTAACTTTAATGCCCTGAATATTCGTATAGTAATTTTTGCTGCTATTACATTCTAGTACAGTGAATTTTAGAAATTATATAATACTCAATCTATCTTATTAGGTATTAAGACTTTTTATTATAAATAAAAATTAACAGTCGACAAAATTACGTTAGACTACAACACACTATACTGTTATTATACTAAACAATTAATTAATTACTTCTAACGCTATTTGTAAAACGTTACAGTACTTTTACACTTTGGTATACACGATTTCTAGATGCAAGTACAATCGTTAACGTCCAATATTGTGTCTTCAACAATTTATTATGTTTTACGCCTCCGATATACGTGTATATTGTTTTGTATATGCATGTTCAATACGCTTTCTTTTTTGAACACCCACTTCCTTACAATAAACGCCATTTCATTAACTATTTTTTTATCAAAATTATACATCGTTTTTTAATAATATGTCTCGTTATTTCAAATATGATCTAAGTACATTATTTTTATGATGTCTGAAATTTATGCTTTAACTTGACTAGGTTGCTATACGCCGATGTGTGTTGATAAAATATACAATTTATTGAGTAATTTTGTACTGTTTATTTATGAGTTAAAAGGCCCAGTTTAAAAATAGTTACGTTTCAACTTTTTTAACTCTTTATTGTACAAACAGGTTTCAACTTTAATCCTGTCAATCATGAATGCAAGTACAATACGCTAACGATACTATTCGTGTTCTTATTGATTACTTTGTGTTAACTAATACAGAATTCAATCGATTGTAGGTATGAAAATATATTATTACTAAAAATGTGTATTAAGATGAGATCAGTTGATATCAACGCAATATTTTCATAGAGTTTCAACCATATAGTTTATGGATGGACTGATATTGTGATGTATTGCTTATTGTTTGTTAAGCATATTCAGTAGTAACAATGATGTCAATTTTGAACAATAAGCCATTAGTTACCCGTTAAGTTCCTATTTGATTAAACGCCTACGTCATTTTATGAATAATACCAAAACTTTAGTTATGCAAATCTGTTAAAATAGTTTAATACAAACCAGTGCAGTGTAACGCACCTTCAATACAAGCAATTTTAAATGAGTATTAACAAAACAAAAATTATGCACTTTTAATACTAGGTGCTCATTTTCTTTTAAAATAATAATGATTTTTTGTATTCTATATTTCTTTATTTAATAGTTATTTTTTTATTTCATCTATTTACCTTAAAAAGTGTAAAGGATGAATGAAAAATGTATTTAATAACTATAAAATGAGAAATATACGATAGCAAAAAATACTAAAAGCAATTTTCTCGACAGTAATTATTTTAAGAGAAGTCGAGTAGCTATTGTTAAGAGAATTACTCTGTATATTTGCTTTAAGTAATAAAAAAATAATGCTTTGAACTCGTTCCGATATGTGCACAGACAAAATAACAGTATATATAATGATAAAACACGAATAAGGATGATACCCCCCGTCAAGTGGTAAAATAGTTTTTAAAGCCTTCCTGCTTTTGATTAATCATTTTAGATAAGAACAGTTAATTATCTGATAGCTCATCGAATCCGTATAGTTCAGTTCACCGGCCGGCTGCATCACTCATTGTGCACTCTCTTCTTTAGATCACAACATCAATATACAAAACACACAAACTAACGCCGCATAGCTCAGTCGATTGTAATAATATTATCGTAGTTCGATGAACACGATTGAAACGTAGACGGCGAAGGATTAAGAATGATTTGAAAGAGAAGGGGTTAAATATACGATAGAACAGATCATATGGCGTCATAACTACCCATAAAGTATCTACATGCGATTCCGTACAAAGTAGATACATGGCAATATGTGATTCGGTATACCATTTTAGAGCTACCTTTGATTTGCTTGCTCCAAAGGGCACGAGTGCTTATCGAGTGGTACTCGAACTATGTATGCTATGCATTACTAAGTATCCGGATATCGTCACGATCAACACTACTGTATGGGCCATAACAAATGGCGTAATAGAAAAGTACCATGTGTGTGTTAAAAGTATATGTAATAGGTAAAACACATTATTATGATTAAAATGTTGTGTATTTCCCGATGTTAAATTTGATTAAGAAACCGCAATAATCTGCTTTCGAGAGTTCAACGGGAATATCTAAAACAACTCTCTGGTTATGCAAACGAGTTGTATCGACGACATGGTAATAATGGAGGGCGTATTTATACGGGTTTTGTCTCATTAACCACGAGATGGTGGCACTTTAACCGTCACCGATGGATTCAATGCCGGCGGATTGTATTACACAATTAATTTGTCAATTAATGTGTCACATGATCTGCATTGCAAAAATGGTACGTATCTATTGATTGTGTGTTACTGCAATGAGAAGTTTATAGAAATATTTTTCAAATTTTCATTGTTAATCTTCGTCTTACAAGTTGTAATATTCCACAATAGTTACCAGTGTACACTACACAATATCCGTTTACATGATGCAGCAATAATAAAAACAACTATGACTGTCTTTGGAGTCTCGCATGCACATGAAACTACGCCGCCTTAACGACGTTGAGACAAAGCGATCGTGATGTCGCAATCTAATCACGAAATGCATCCGATTCGTTCTTCTGGTTCGCAACGGAAACCATTTTTAACAACTACATTTAATTAACGTTCGATGTACATTTTTTTAAATGGCAATATTCGTATATATTAGGAACAACGCGCGGTACGGTTAAACGTACGCAAAATTCAATAAATGCATCGAACGCGTAGCTGTTTATCATATTCTGTCGCATCAATTTTATCTATACGCATAATTTCAATGACACCGAAGTCATTTGATATGATATATAAAATTTCTAAACTGTATAATTTTATTAAAGAACTTCTTAAAAAAATAAATTACTAAGCCATTTATAGGGGAATGTAATACCTATACATTTTTTATGTCACGATTTTGTAAGCCCAAAAGCTTTATTATTCAATTTACAAAATTATTGGCTAGAGATAGAGAATGTAATTAGTTAAATTTAATGAATCCAATTTATTTTCTTTCGATATTTTTATGGTTAAAAGATCAATAATCTTAAAGACGGAAAAAAATGTTCTTGTGAACACCCCCTTATATAAAACTATTCATTTAATGTAAAGTTGACATAAACGCGTTCAAATCTTAGAAAATTAATTTGAACGTGCATTTTGTTACCATTATGAATAATCGTGAACGTTTTTAGTTTGTTCGCTGTGAAGATCAATTGAAATCGTTGTAGAAATTACATATTTTGTACTTTAGTGGTCGAATTTACATAGTACGATAATTATGAGATGTTTTTTTTTTAATATTTTAGTACACTCAAAAAGGTTTAATTTAATAAAATTAAAAGATTTCAGATGTTTTGAAACATTTAAAAAATTGAAATGAAAAAAGATATTTATTAAGCGTTGGTAGACTTTTTATTAAAATTATGTTTAAAGAAAAATTATTATATCTA